CAACTGCTGCACTGTAGCTCACCAGGTACACACTTGAAGCTGCCAGATACTTTTCAAGGGTAGTCCCATGCAGAGCTTATTAGACCAATCAGGATATGACTAGGGCATGAGTGACCGAGTGGAGGGACATTACTGGTGCACACAACCCAAAGTTGGGCTAAAGCCCACCTGACTGCAAATGCTAATTACTCTTCAAGCAGGAGCCGTGAATCCAAGAGGACCCCCAAGTGATGTACCAGGTCTGTTTTGTGTACTGCAACCCCATCTAGGATCAAAAACTCCTGGATACAAAAGGGCCCACCCATAGCCACTCCATCTTAATAGGGTTCAATTGAAGCCCGCTGTTCCTCATCCAGAACCCAAGAGCACTCCTGTCACTGAAAGGGTGTTCAGTGCATCTAGATGATGGATGATCTCACCCAGCAGTTTCATGTAGATGTTAAAGAGGAGCAGAGAGTGTAGAGCCCTGTGGCATATCGCAAAGGAGGGGTTATAGGCTGGATTTCTCACTCCCAATTAAGACCGATTGGGATTAACCCTGGAGGAAGAAGGTGAACCACTGAAAAACTGTGACACCCAATCCCAAGTCTGCCCAATAGGATACCAAGGTTGAAGGTATCGAAAACCACTGAGACACCAAGGAGAGCACAATCTCTATCCCCTTGCTGTTAAATACAGTGCCAGTCCCATATTTGGTCCTAAAATCTGCCTGTAAAAATCCATTTCCACCAGAAAGGTGCAATACCACCACTTTCCTAGAAAGGAGAGAGCCTGGAGAAAACTTATTTAGCTTAGCTTATTTAGATTTTTGCTATTTGTTTAAAAATCTTTACATTCTGAAGCCTGTAATTCATTTTGCTTTTGTTCACAGTTGGAAGATAAACTCACTTGATGCAGACTTTTCAAAACTGTCGTTCTGAAGATCTCTAGTAGGTTTAGAACAGTTAAGAGAAAATTTCTGAAAGTGATCAGAAAATGAAGTTTGCAAACTTAGTGCCCTTTAAAAGGCTCCAACTTATGTTGCAGATTTATATATTGTCATCGAGATAGCAGGACGTTCAATTGTTTATGCATCCTTCTTTGAACAATGCTTACTTTAAATAAATGATTATCCAGAATAGCATATAGGGAACAGATTTACAATTGCTTGCCTAGAATTGATGTCTGTTTTAAAATGGTACTAGTGATTGCCATGAGTCCAGTAATAATTTATTAGAGTTATCCTGGGATATAGTATTCACCAACCCCATAATTTGTTCTATGGCTTAGTCAGGGATGTTTTATAGCAACAAAAAATAATTTATTTATTTATTTATTTCAAACTCTTTCTCCACTTGTACAAAATTGTTATATTTTCTTCTTGAACTTAAGACTCCAAGAAATTATTATAACTATGTATCTTCTTATCTCCTGTATCCTAGTACATAGCTATTTACTATATGAGTTGAATATCTATCTATTTATCATCTATCATCTATCTATCTATCTATCTATCTATCTATCTATCATCTATCTATCATCTATCTATCTATCTATCTATCTATCTATCTATCTATCTATCTATCTATCTATCTTCTATCGTCTATCTAGGATCATCTAGCAAGCTAGCAAGCTAGAAATATCAGTATACATAAGGCAGTCTGTTAAGAATATTCAAATGAGCTATATTAAATCATACAAGCCAATTTGTATATTAGCAAGATGGTTTGAGAGTTGTGTACATTTAGATAATATCAGATTCAATAAAATGAATTGTCTTTTTGCTCTTGAATTTAGTAATGGTAGCATATTTCCAAAATGACAAACATTGGCTTGGCATCCAAGGCAGTATGTTTGGATAATCATGGAAACCTCATAGACTTTGAAGGACCCATCAGTTGAAACATCAACTCTGACTCTTCTATAGCTCTGCTCTGATATGAGCTATAACCATTACCTTCATAGCAATGGCTTTACCTCTAATGCATACACTCTTAATTGTCTATAGTTTAGATACAAAAGTCTATACATTCCAGTATTATTTTTATTTAGCATCTTACTTAATTTAAATGGCATTCTATCTTTTGTTGTTGCTATAATTCTGAAAACTCTGTGAGATGTGATTCAGAGGCATCATGAATGAAAGGACATGAACAGCTTTTAAAAACACACTACATAGCCAGTTGAATTCTTGCCAAAGCCTGTTTACAATGAACAAATATAACTTGATAACATAACTTTTCAGAAATGAAGTCTTCTATCTTTTTTATTTAATTTCTTCCTACTCGGTTCCCATCTTTTGCTATTTCTATCTTCACTTTCATTTCTTAAAAAAACATTATTCAGCTAGGTATTGAGGATGAGGTAGGTAGTCAATAAATGAGACATACACCTTTTCACTGTTGTAAAAAAAATTCATGCTTCGTTGGACAACTAGCAGTAAGCTCAAACTTCTGCCTTGCATATGCATCAGTTTCTATTTTGTGCTATTATTAATAATGAAATTTTAATACTTTCTGTAAATGAAAGTCAATCTTGGTATAAAAATTAAGCAGAACAGACCCAAATAACGGTATGCCAAACACACACATAAACACACACACACAAATTGTCCATGCAGAAAAAAAGGCTACAGGAGATCCAAGTGACATTATCAAAATGCTACAGAAACTGATTACAGTACGGAAGTGGCAGATCCCAGAAATAATTTCCCCCCAAAAGGGAGTTCACAACTACTGGACAACAATTCTCTGATGTAATAAGGGAACCAAAATAAAAACACTTCAACTCCATGGTAATGTGTAGGTTAAATATGGACATGTATCCAGGTTGACTGGATTTGTTTCTAGACTTCTTACATAGCCACTCGATGGGTGGTTTCTGGTGCTTCACCTTCCAAAAGGCCTCAGTAAACCTTGTCACCATCAAGAATTGGGTCTTGGAAAGAACTTGAGAGCAATAATTTATCTTGCCTGGCTCATTCCTGATATCAGCCACTTACAAGATGCTGAATAGAACTGCTCACTAGAGAGCTGGGAAAACCCAGATGGTTGTTTTGGGGACAGACTATACTGATTCAGTCCCACCACTGATTCTACCATGGCAAAAGGATGGTGGAAATTGCCTCCATTTCCATCAACTATTGCTTTGAGACAAAAATGAAATCCAAAATATGAACACCGAAATGTGTTGAAGCCAAGATGACCTGACGCAAGCCGGTGGTTGCTATGGAAAACATGAACTCAACTTTTATTCATACAAGTCCTAGAAGCTGTCAAATTGAAGTCACTTAGCACCACAATCCCAACACTATATACAGCAGAGAAGGAACCTACTGAACAAAAGCAAACACACTTCTTTCTCTACAGTACAGTATCACCTGTAGATACCATATCCTGATGTCCTCACAAAAGTGCCTCTGCTCATGGTCAAAATCTCTCTTATGATCATATCCAGACCCTTCATAGTTATTCCTCAATTTCTTCAATCACAGATACCACCATTTTTTTAATGGAATAATTTAATATCTGAAACATTTACTTTTGAAATAGTCAATCACAGGTACAATCTGGAATAAATCCAAATTACATAATGAAACCTAAACAGTCCTGATTTCAATCAATATATTTTTGTCAGTCCCGCACTACTGAAAAGTAATTGGATATATCCCTAACTTTAATATTGTAACTGTCTTATTGTAATAAAATCAGTATAATACATTGCCCATTAACAATGTCACAAGCTGTTCACACAGAGCAAAGTTAACAATTTCTAGGCAAGAAAACAAATGGTCGTTAATCAGTTACAACAGATGGCAAAACAAGTAGCAAGCATTTCAGATTCCTGAGACTGACTGACTGGAAAGGCTTCATATTTAAAATAAAAATACGTTTGAAAGGAATATTGAATACAAAACTTATGAACCATGTATTGTAACACTTGGTTTTGTATTTTATATATAAATGTGCTCTAGATTAATGATGTCTTACATTACAATGTTTTTGTCATTTTCCCCAGTGTTTATCCCCAGTATAAATTTTGCAACTTTTCCATTTATGCTGACAAAATATGGAGGTATGGATAACATAAAAAAAGAAGAAAAAGGGGGACAAAAAAGACAGAATGCTACTTGAGTACTTTTTTTTAAAACTAGTATCAACTGAGGCATAAACCTGAAAATCTTTTTCAAGAAAATTAGTTCACACAGTCAGTGGGAGACAATAATGACTCAAATGCCCTCTCCCTATAATTATACAACTACACAACTATATATTATGTATCAATAGTGAAAGAAATAAAAACATATGTTAGAAAAAAAGTTTTGATTTGAAAGGGACAGTGGTTAGGTTCTTATAAAATGGAGACTAAGCCATAGGGAAAACAGCTAAAGAAGAAATCAGCAAGCCTTTGAACACATCCAAATAAAATTACATAGCACATTTTTATATAATTATTTATCGTGCACAGAATCCCGAAATAATTCACTTAGAGCAAGGCATTTCTTCCATAGATCCAATGCTCCCATGAAGCCTTCAGAAACAAAAGCATCTACCAAACTTCTTCCTAACTTTAAGGGAGGTCGAGTTGTTTGTCCAACATTTTAGACAATTTGTCCTAAGTTTCTTTACTGAAGTGAGAAATTACTAGGTTACAGTTGTGTACTGTATACTTGTGACAAGAACCTCTAAAGGCTTGCTAGAGGAACAGATTATAAGGGTGATCAAAGTTGTTAAGTTTTTAGAGCAGTACAGTTCAGAAATTCAACTCTTCGTGTATACTGTATACATGAGAAAATATTTTACATCAATCATGTTGACTTGCTGAGTCTAACATGAGAGCATAGTGCCCAATTTCAAATCTACAATTCTAAAAAAATGTTATTCTTGTTCCTGTAGAATAAAATGCATTGTTAGTCAGAACTAAACCCCATTTATATCTGACATAATTTATTTGTATCTACAATTTAACAGAGATAATATGCATTTTGCAACAAAAGTCCCTGAAAATGATTTAAAACTTACCTTCGAAATGTTACTCGATCGACTTGTTGAGCGCCCTGGAGATTTTTCATTCTGTTTTTTAAAAAAATAAGATTTGTTTAGTTTGGACCAAAAAAAACTTGCAAGTATTATTTTTTCATTTCTCCATTGAGAAGTTCATATAATTGGTTTGTTAATAGATTGTTGACTGGAATTTTAGCAGTGCCCAAGATTTTCTACTTTGGCACTCTTTTAACAATAACTCTTTATACTATATTATAAACTAATTTTTGAAAATCTCTGCAGTTCAGAAGTGGCATCTCATGGTATGGGGAGCTACTGCCCAAGAAAACCAAATGAAAGTTTCCTTTGTTCAAAGAAACTAATAATGCATTTCTTTGGATCCTCATCATTATTTAACAGACTTAACAATTGAGGTAAATGACACAAAAGAGAACATAAATGGGTAAAAATACCCAAATAAAGAACATGTACCTTTTACATTGGGGATGTCAAAGAAGAGAAAGCATATTCAGACTAAAATCTCATACAGATATCACAGTTGAAGAAGGATTACTTTAACCACAGTTAAAGAAGGATTACTTTAAGATTATCAACCTTGATGCCAACCAAAACCAAGCATTTAATAGTGAGTGCCATACCATGTGCACTAATCAAACAGGTAGCAAGAAAGTAGGGGCAGTCAGGCACAACACAGGTTATGTAGACAGTAAACACAGTGTCAGACATAAAGATCTCAAGCGCTTATATACAAATGCACAAAGTCTGGGGAACAAACAGGGTGAACTCAAACTAAGAATACATGAAGGTAAATATGATATAGTTGGAATAACAGAAACTTGGTGGGATGAAACCCATGACTGGAACATACTGGTAGAAGGATACAAACTATTCAAAAAAACAAAAAACAGACCCCATAAAAGAGGAAATGGAGTTGCACTGTATGTAAAGGACCACTCTATTGCCACAGAAATGCATGAAACCAAAGAGGAAAACCTCCTAGAATGCATATGGGTCAATATAAAAGAAAAAAAAAGAATGACATGGTGTATATTATAGGCCACCCAATCAAGAAGAAAATATAGATGTCCTTTTTGCCAGCCAACTGACAAACATATGCAGGAAACACACAACCATAGTAATGGGAGACTTCAATTATCAATTGGAAAACTAATTCTGCACCAAGTGAGAAATCAAATAAGTTCCTAAACAACCTAGCTGACAACTTTGTTGTCCAAAAGATAGAGGGTGAAACTAGAGGGACAGCCATAGTGGACTTAATTCTTACAAACAGAGAAGAAGTGATAGAAGTAGTTGAAACTTCAGGAACCTTGGGTGAGAGTGACCATTTCATACTAGAATTCAACATAACACAAACACAAGCAACAGAACATAATGACACCAGAGTCTTGGATTTTAAAAGAGCTGATTTCAATAAACTCAGAGAGAACTTGGGAAAGATTCCATGGATGAAAATCCTAAAGGGGAAAACAACTCAAGAATCTTGGGAAACTCTAAAAAGTATGATCATAGAAGCCCAGACCAGCACAATACCACTGAGAAAGAAAAACAAGAAATCAAAGAAGAAACCAGCATGGCTACACAAAGATCTCTTTGGCAAATTGAAAGAAAAAAAAGGACAAGTACAAAAAATGGAAAGAAGGACATACAACTAATAGCCAGAATCTGCAAAGAGGAAGTCAGGATAGCAAAGGCTCAAAACAAACAAAACTTGCAACAAAAGTCAAAGATAATAAAAAAGTGTCTTCCAACATATAAATAACAAGAAAAAAAATCAAGGAAACAGTTGGTCCACTAAAGAGAGAAGATGGCAAGGAAGTAACAGGCAACAGAGAGAAAGCAGAACTGCTTAACTCATTCTTTGTATCCGTCTTCACGCAAAAAGAAACTATAGCTCAACCTACCAAAAACATAACTGTAAAAGACAGACCAGAAATGAATGTTAAAATAAGCAAAAAAATAGTAAGAGAACACCTGTCTGATCTTGATGAAGACAAATCACCGGGGCCTGATGGATTACATCCCAGAGTTTTAAAGGAGCTGGCAGAGGTCATCTCAGAACCACTGCACCATATCTTTCAAAAATCCTGGAGCACTGGGGAACTACCAGAGTACTGGAAAAGAGCTGATGTGGTTCCCATCTTCAAAAAAGGGGGAAAAAAAACAGACCCAGGAAACTATAGACCAATCAGCCTAACATCAATACCCAGGAAGATACTGGAAAAGATAATAAAAAAACAGATCTGCCAACATCTAGAAACAAGTAAAGTAATAACTAGCAGTCAGCACGGGTTTGTTAAAAACAGATCATGCCAAACCAATCTTATTCTTCAACACAGTGACTAAATTAGTAGACCAGCAAAATACTGTGGACATAATATATGTAGATTTCAGCAAGGCATTCAACAAAGTAGACCACAACCTACTTCTTAGTAGGCTAGAAAAAAATGGAATAGATAGCAGCACCACTAGATGGACTCGCAACTGGCTGGCAAACTGTACTCAATGAGTAGTCCTTAATGAGTCTAAGTCTACATGGAGGGAAGTAAGCAGTGGGGTGCCACAAGGTTCCTTCTTAGGCTGGATACTCTTCAATATCTTCATTAATGACTTAGATGAGGGAACAGAAGGGGAACTTACCAAATTTGCAGATGATACTAAGCTGGCAGGAATAGCTAACACCCAAGAAGATAGGCTCAAGTTCCAGATGGATCTTGACAGACTAGAACACTGGCCATATCTAACAAAATGAAATTCAATGTAGAGAAAAGTAAAGTCCTACATTTAGGCAAGAAAAACCAAAAGTACACATATAGACTGGGTGAAACCAGGCTCAACAGCAGTAACTGTGAGAGGGATCTTGGAGTCTTAGTGGACAACCAGCTAAATAGGAGCCAGCAGTGTGCAGCAGCAGCCAAAAAAGCTAATGCAATCCTAAATTGTATTAACAGAGGGATACAATCAAGATCAAGGGAAGTACTAATTCCACTCTATATAGCCTTAGTAAGACCACACCTAGAGTATTGCATCCAGTTTTGTTCACCACATTATAAAAAAGATGTTGAGACTCTAGAAAAAGTACAGAGAAGAGCAACCAGGATGATTAGGGGACTGGAAGCTAAAACATACAACGAACAGTTGCAGGAACTGGGCTTGGCTAGTCTAAGTAAAGAGAAGGACTAGGGGAGACATGATAGAGGTTTTCCAATATTTGAGGAGCTGCCACAGGGAGGAAGGGGTCAAGCTATTTTATAAAGCGCCTGTAGGCCAGACAAGGAATAATGGATGGAAACTGAACAAGGATATATTTAACCTGGAAATAAGGAGAAATGGAACAGCTTGCCCTCGGGAGTTGTGGGAATGCCATCACTTGAGACTTTCAAGAAGAGATTGGACTGCCATTTGTCAGAAATGATGTAGGGTCTCCCACTTGGGTGGGGGGTTGGACTAGATGACCTACAAGGTCCCTTCCAACTCTGATTATCTGTTAAATCTGTTAAATCTGTTAAACCATTCATGGACTCATTCCAGATTAAGCCTTTTGTACAGAACACATTTAGTGGCAGTAATGTTCATAGAATATGATTTCTTAAACCATAGTCCAAGATAAGGTAAGGATTAATCTCAGTTTTCTAGGTTTTGATGTTTTACATTCTGTTTCACTGAAAAGGAAGTCTTTTTGGCACAAACTCTGTTTGTGAAAGGTATAATTTGGCCTGATCTACTATAATAAAAGCTAGTTACAAAAGTTAGCCCTTAATTTCATTTCAGTTATATAAAACACCTGTAATTGAAACAGGATTGTTTCATTGAAACAGGAAGAAATAAAATCATGGTTGGGTTATTACCCTAAGTTGGGAAGATGGATCTTAAGCAATCTTGACCCTGTGCCTTATGAATAGAAGTTATCCCACATCATAATCCTGATACTAATTATAATAACAAATGTGTACCTGACTCCCAATAAAGATGAAACTAGTCATACCCTAGTTAGTATAACCTTATAATAAAAGTAGGGTTAGAGTGTATAACTTTTTGTTTCCTAGTCTGGTCTATTTTGGAAGGCTGACAACAAATCTTAATACATTTCCTCCCCCCCTCCTATTGTGTTCATGAGAACTAGGGAGGTTCTTGTCTGAGATTCATATAGAGATCTGTCCCAAACTTAGTTTTTTTTTAATCTGACTGTTGTCGGTTGCAGCTCTTCCTCCTGTTTCTCTTTGGCCTCCTTTTTCTTCAAAGTTATTCCACTACCTACTTGCAATCAGGTGAATAGATGAACTACCTGCTAAAGTATCTTCACCAGCAGGATCAGCAATGCCAACTCATGTCCAGTCTACTTGGGCTGGTCAAGAATGTCAAGAAACACGAGATGATTAGCAAGGGGAGGGGAAAAAGCTACTAGTGGTGGCAGAAAAAATAGTATGGTATATAGGCAATAATAAATATCTTCAATTCTTACAGATTAGAAAGATAACAGAAAAGGCAACCTTTTTTTCATTGAGAAAAAAAGTCACTCATAGTATTAAGTTATTCAGCAGCATGATATTTCTTCATGTTGGAGGGAACAAGTATATATCTAGTAAATGATTTCAAGTTTAAGTTGACATCAGCTTTAGAAAGAATAGAATAGAATAGAATAGAATAGAATAGAATAGAATAGAATAGAATAGAATAGAATAGAATAGAATTTTTTATTGGCCAACTGTGATTGGACACCCAAGGAATTTGTCTTGGTGCAGGTGCTCTCAGTGTACATAAAGGAAAAATAAAATACATTCATCAATAATCATAAGATACAACACTTAGTGATAGTCATAGGTTACTAATAAGCAATCAAATCATACTAAGGAATAGATAAAGCAATATAAATTTTAAAGATACAAGCAACATGGTTATAGTCATAAGTGGGAAGAAATAGGTAAGAGAAGGATGAGAGGAATAATAGTAATACAATCTTAGTAAATGAGTTGACAGTGTTATAGGAATTAGTTGTTTAGCTGTTGAATTAGTTGTTTGTGATGGCATTCGGGAAAAAACTGTCCATGTGT